ACACAAAACCACCTGAGCATAGACTGGACAGTACAATAGTGTAACAAACAAACAGTTGTTAGTGTAACAAACACAACAGTGCAATCACGCAAGACCTGGGATTTAATTTTTGTTCCAGAAATTATAGAGACTTCTTACCTAGAAACAATAATTTTAATGATGTATGTCCCATGCAGGTATCCTTGAAGATTAAAAATTTTGAGGACAGAAAGGTTAGGAACTATCTTGCTTCACCAAATTTGCATATGGGAACTTTTTCCCCTTATGTGTCATACTGCTCATTTTCTCCTCTCAGCTACATCTTCCCTCAACCCAAACAAAACTAGACTCTTTCTACAGAAGTCCCTCAAACATACTATGTGTGCTATGTCTACATTAAGGGCCAGTATACTTGTAGAGAAGCCTGTGTTCATGCATGCCTTTCAACCTTTTATCTGTCAACATGAACTTTTTTGTCCTTACCAGTTTGGTTACAAACATCGTATTTCACTATATAGGCATAGTTACATCAGTATAAGTACACAATTTATTCTAAATCAATTTATTCTTCAAAAGGGTGTACACTGCTAACATATTTTATAACAAGGTTTTCTTTTTTGGTTTTGGTTGATGTTAAGCTGTGTTAAGAGGTTAGTACTCTACTACCCAGTGGAGTATACAGTTGTAACAGGCAACTTTCAGTCAAATGGATGTAAATAAATTCAGCAAACAAGATACAAACGCTTTCTTGAAATCCCTTCCAGAAAAAAACTTCTTAGACAAAAGCAGAAGGCTAGATGACTATTCAGCTAGATGGTCTGTCTATGGTCTGGTTAACCCTAAAAAGGGGAGGGAGGGCCTAGACCTGCTCCCTGCTTGTGTGTGAGCTGGTTCAGTTTGCTCATCCAGGGAACTACTAATGCAGAGCTGGTGAACGGAAACTGCTTCCAGAAGAGTGTGATGTGTGCTGGAGATGGCACAGGCGAAACGGCAAGAACACATACCCCACCCCTCCAGGCAGCAGTCAGGGCTCTTTGCTCAGCAATGGAGCTAAAAAGCACCATAAAAGAATCCAGTTTCAACTGGAAAAAAAAAAAAAGAAGTGTGCAAGCAGATGTCACAGTACAAGATGAACATCAATGTAGCTCATTTTAGGTGCTTCTCGTTGGCCTTTCCACCTAGTTAAATTATCAGCTAGACAGTAGACTCCCAGGAACACAGATCATAAAGACAGGAATGATAACATGTATCAAAGACTTCGGGCATTAACAGTAATAACAAGAAAAAGGAACACAGCAATAAATATCAAATACTGTCACAGCTCTCCGTTTAACTAAATGCAAAACATGTTATTTACATTACGTAATGGAGTTGTAAAGCACTTTCACTCTTGCTTGTGAATAAGAAATTGTAGTCTTGTATCTCTGCAGTTTGAAATGCCTCTCAATGCGTTTAGCAAGCTCACCAAAAAGGTTCACTATTGTATCACATGTTGAATCACGTGTTGGCCCTGGCATGGTGTGTAAATGAACTCACTGACCTCTTTGGGTTTTCCCCTTTATTTTCCCTGATCTTTAATGAGGATATCGAGCTCACAGGGAGTAGCAGGCAGGAGATTGCGCTGTACTTTCACAATGGGAAAGAAGCCAAAATACAGGCACAATGACTGGATTCAGCACTTTCAAGCAAACACAGCAGAACTGCATACATCCTCCTCCAGGAAAAACGTTTCCCACCACCACTTTACCAGGAAACCTCTCAAAACCAAGGCTGGGCTATCCCCTCGTTCATTTTTCACACTTTGCTATTAAAGCTATTCTCCCACAAGAAAGGCTTTCCTGTTAGAGAAGCTTCCAAAATTGCTTAAGAGCTATTTGCTTTGGTTTGTTATGATGATTTCATGCTGTAATATTCTAAATATTATGTATGGTCTTAAATATTGGGCTCCTACACTGAACATTTTGGTAAAAATATGGTTAACTGTACACACTCAGAAAATATTAGAGGAAGAAAACGAAGGGAACATTAGTCAGTAAAACACATACTTATATATTAAAATATCTCAAAGGTCACAGTATATTAATTTTCTGGGTTAAAATGGATCCCATTTGACACAGACTGTACATGCTTAATTCCAATTTTCTTTATGTTCCATCTACCTTTTCCTTAATTAGTATCTCTTTAGCTGCTTATAACATGGACAAATTACTTGGTCTGAGCTGAAGTTCTCCTCTTTCCTCTTAAATACAGAGTAAATTTCTCTGAGTAGTTGGTAGGAAATAAATTTAGATGTGTTCTATGTTCTCACATTCCACATGAACAAGTATATCCTAAGGACAAGTCTGCACATGCCTCTAGAGAGAGGAGCTGACTGCTCATAAAGGAGCAGCCAGAAGCATCTTTAGGTCTTTCTCAATGTGTTGCTGCTCCTGGGAACTACAGCAGCTTCTGACACAGCTCATCCAAACTCTTCAAGAAGAGTGGACTTTCTCCCTACCTTTCTGGCCTTCCCTCAAGCCCAGGCCAGCGATTCACTAACATAAATTTTATTTACTAATATTCCAGTGAAACTACGAATCACTGTTATTTTCATTTTTTTATATGCCAAATTAAGGCTCACAACAGATAGCTTGCTAGAGATTTTATGGGAAGCCTGTGGCATAAGCCAAATGAAATCAGGAATATAAAGAGTATTTCAAAAACAAAGTCTGTTTTTCTTCATCTAGTAGTCTTTGATTATGATTTTCCCTTATACTACAAGACATTTGAGTGTGTGTCAAGAGTCAGCAGAGAAAGGAATGAGATTTTGACCACATGACTGGCATACAGCCAGCTGTATGACATGCACTACTACACAGTGGCAGAATTCGAGGTCACAGCATATGATCCTCCTCTGTCCCTGGACAAACTGTGAAACCAGAAGGGCTTTAGCAGAGTTGAGATTTCATGCACTTAAATATAGGTTTGCCTAAAGAAAACATTCTGCCTCTGTGCTGTCACAGTTAGGTATCCAGGCTGGCTGGCATCTTCCTTCTCGACCCCAAAATCAGGTTAACAGTATCTTAAAAATTTTTACAAATACTTGCTAGACCATGAAGTTTTCCATTTGTATTGTTATATTTTTGAGAAATTTGAGGTTATTGCCCAAAATCTTTGTTCCAGGCCACTAACTCTTCCTTACCAGTTCAGAGAGTTTACAGAAAAGGTGTATCAATTCAGACAGCAATAATTTCCATGCAGGTTAAAACAAAACAAAACAAAATAAGCATGTTTAAGACCAAGGGGATATTCTTCCTCACAGGAACTAGTGAGGAAGTCTTTTCCTTGGCTGGAAAAGAATAAACTTGCATTTTCTTATTCTTTCTCAAAACAGGGGGACGGGAAAGAGGAGATGGAGGGCAGGGAGAGGATTAATCAAGATAATATTTGCTCATGTTTATATTCTGAAACAAAGGGAAATAAAAATACACGAAGACATATTACATGATGAAGATAGGAAGTAACTTGCTACATAGCAGAATTATTGGAGCCACATCCCAGTTGTAAGAGACAGGGATACAAACACAGATTATTTCAAATCAGGTTACTGGGGTTTCACTGTTAGGGAAATACAGGATGCTAAGAAGGAAGTAAAAACTAATAACATTGTTTGTTTTGAAGATAATATATTTTGACAAGTCTGAGGAAGGGCTATCAAAAGAGGAAAGTTGTATATCCTGACAATAATGGACTCTATGAATACCTTACAGATGAGGAGATTCTAATCATGTTTGTTTTCATATGAGACAAAAACTAACTTGCTGCTCATAGTGCCCTAGTTTGAAGTTGCTTCTACAAAAACAAATATGACACAATGAAAAACTGCTAAAAGATTCACCGAGCTACGGAATGTCCTTCCTGCTCACCCTGGCTCACTTTTCACTTCGAAACGTAAAAGGAATGTCACGCATTTGTAAACTATGTCTGGGAGCGAAGCCTCAAGTATCATGAATAAAAACACTCAAGTCCTCTACTATACCAATAAAAATGCTACGTGACTTCTATTCAAGTACAAGCTCAGATGTTTCTAAATACAGATGGTATCCATCACATGAAGGAAGAACATCAGTTATTGCATTTGACATCTTTCTTGGGAACTGCACCCCTCCTCACTGAGCAGAACAAAGTCTCTAGCATACTAGAAGTTGTCAAGACTTTCTGTTTCTCTGTCCTCGATGCAATGTACATTCTCTAAGGAGAGAGGAAAACAAGAAAGGGAAAAATTTGTAAAGCAACCATCCATTCCGTATGCTACACCAATTGTTTTCCAGCTCAGTTTTTATTACCTAATCTTACTGCAACCCTGTCTCCAGGCAATTACATATTGAAATACATATTCACAGCTCAGTTTTTCATTTGTATACAACAAATATTTGTAAAAACCCTGCTGTTCACAGGTTGGTCATTTGCTGCTTCTGTTCAAAAGAGCAAGCTGTAACAGTGTGCTAAAACTATCCAAACCTGACTGGGTCTGACTGATCTGTTCCTCTGGCCTGCTTATATTTCCCAGCTCTAACCTGGCCCTGTAGAGGAACAATATAAAACTATACACGAGCCTGCTTATTTCTCTTGGAAGCAAACCTCAGCACTCGAGCTGTATGCTGGGGAGATCAACAGCCTGCAATTGCTGTGGTGTGTGCACTTTCTTCTATCTATGTGATAAGTCTATTCTATCACTTCACCAAAATTAAGCCTGAAGGAACCAGGAATTCTCAATTTACAGCAATGAGGTAAAGGATCACCATCTTACATTCCTTAGCTCACATATACAAGTTTTTTTTACGTGTCCATGTCATGGTCAGCTTGGAACCTGTTCCTCTATATACAGTGTTTAAGACTGGTTTCCCCACTTATCATTCCAAGTATCTGTTTGCTGTACCATCAAGTATATGGTATGGCAAAAGTTGGCAAGAGATTTGCAGGGTAGCCATGGGAATGAAAATGTACCTATTTTCAAGTTAATACATACCAGCTACAAGGAAACAATATTAGCATTTTAGCACAGTTTTAAAGACTAGCAGAGAAAGGATGCAGTTGGACAAGGTCTAGAACTTTGAGAGCTGCAACAATGGCTACGCAGAGCAACACCCAGGTATTTAAAAGCTCAACATCCACCTTTTTTTTCTTTCTTCTCCTCAGTGTTTAAAAGGCAGTTTATTGTCTGGGTTTTATCCGTTTACAAGTGTGCATCTGTGTATATGTATGACAACAGGAATTCTCAAAGCAAGCCAAACTGAGAAAGATGGATCGGTCTGATGTCTGGTCATTCATGGGTGTGTCCACACCAGTTCTGCAGTTCAGATCAGTGGTGTGCTTTTGTGGTAAATCTCTCCAGCTTTCCTGAGCTTTGGTTTGGATTGTGGAGCAGCCTTCTGAGCTCACACAATGGATTCTTTTCATACAAAACTAAACCTGAAGATGTATTCCAACTACTAAAAGGCATTTGGTCCACCTACAGTCTGTCTTGAGTAAAAGCCCACAATGCATAGAGCAGGACCAAAACTCCCACACCAACTTTTACTCCACAAAGTGCTCCTACCACATCACATTACTTGCTAGTACAGACATGTTTGTGTCAAAACCATGTTCCTGTTCCTTGGAAAGTTTGTCTTCTATAGGCACAATTCCACCCACATCCTTTGATAGCTTCATTATTTCAGAAAGACGTATTAGAGTGGAAGACCATGAAGGCAGAAAGACAGACAAATTTTCCCAGCTGTACAGCAGCACAGAAGTTTTGAAACAGACAATGGAATCAATGCCACAGGGAGGAAATCACTAAACTATGCTGTTCATAGTATGCAGCAGTGTTAGGCACAAGGATGATCAGATTTTGGTGTGCACTGAAGTTCCATATCCCACCAGGCTCTGGATGTGAATATTTATTAATAATGAAGCCCTTAGCCTACAACCAGCAATGTTGGCACAGGTCTTCTCGACAGCTGTATATATACTCATTTTTTTGACATATTGATTACTGGGGCCATATCACAGATCCCAAAGCAGAGTGACATCACATTCAACTCCTTGCTACTTTGCAAGAGGCAAACCTTGATTTAGGTTAAGTTTTAAATGATACTTTGACATAGCTTCTAATTTTGATCATACCATGGAATCATTACAGTAATCAAAAGAAAATACTGGAAAAAGATTAAAACTCAGAGAGACAAGACTTAAAAACCAGGAGAACGGAAAAGATGACTGAAGAGGCTTACTAGGAGCTGAGGTGAGGTTGAGACACCTGGAGACCCTCATGAAATAATGGTAAGCTATTTTTTTCTTAACCAGTTGTTCTTTCCTTCTATCCTCAGTCTCCCTGGATTATTTACTGGATTAAACAAAATGTGACTTATTTCTATTCACTCTTCAAACTGCTTATAAGTATCAGTCTACACCCATGAAATTTCATATATTCAGACACACATACTTGTGTCTGGTCTGCATATTCTTTAAAATTTCTCACAAATGGTTCCTCTAGTCTTTACTAAAACAATTGACTGACTTAATGGCACTACTTAGGATACTCAAATTCTGATTACTGATTTTTAAAATGTCTTATTTTTTACCACCACAACCTCATCTTTACATAGAAATCAATATATGATCCACCCTATCCAGTAAACAGTAAAGTAACATGCAGTGCAGTTCTTGAGCTGAGTTGTTCTGAACTCCAACAGAGACTAATGGATAAACAGAGCAAAAGACAATTAATGAGAATGCTATCACACAAGTGATGATAATGAGTAGCTGACTACTCAAGGTTTATCATTAAACTGGCTTTCTTGCTCTTTTTGGGCACCCACTAAAATCACAAAGAAATAGGTTGTCATGATGACCCTAAGTGAAGTCACAGGAAGGGTGTAAGAAGAAATTGCTCAAGATCAAAAGTAAAAATTATTTAAGACAATCACACAATAAGAAAAAGTAGTATTTCAACTGAAGCACAGACGTGAATTGCTGAGATTTCACACAGCTACCAAGACTGTAGTGCAACTAGCAGCAAAACATATCAAATAGTGGAGAGATCAGAAAGCTATGCAAGAATAGGTAGCATGAGGAGACCAAGTTATCTGAGAAGGCACAAGCTTACACTGCCACGAGCAGAAAGCTCTCTGCAGGGCATGTCTGTATTAAAGACAGGAACCAGACCGTTTAGGATGATATTACTAGAAAGGACTCCTGGATTCTACTAGAGCAGATTCAATTACAAAAAGCTGACTGTAAAATGAGATGTTCTTACTACACTGATACATGTTGTACCAAGATGTTCCCTGGAAAGCTGGACAACATTCAGGCATAATTAATTTTTTTTTTAAGTTTGGGGACAGAATCTTCACAAAAAGGTACATTCTGTGCCTCATCCAAACTAGAAAAGGGACAAGCAGCTGAGGATTGTAGAATGGGTTATCTGGAGTCAGGCAACCTAGTTGAGGCATGTCTACCCAGGTCGGATGACACATCTATCTAAAAGGGGTCACAAGCAAGGCTGTTAGTTCATGGCTCTTATCTTGAATTTACTGACAGGTGGCTAGAAATAATGTGTGGCCTATATTATTTTCCCAATATAGTGGTGGGTGCCAGGACACAACCCTTAAAAGAGATTATGCAGCTGCTATAAAATCCTGGAGGGAACTGGCAGATATGGGTAGGAGAACAGCTTTCTCCTGAAGGTGGATAGCTGGCGAGGTTAGAGTCATTTCTAAAAGTGTATTGTATTGTGAAATTTTGTGATAGATGTGCAGCCTACTATTATATCTGCCTGCAAAAATCACCAGCAGCTCATGCGCCCTCACTGTATTTACATTAAAATGACTAAGACTGGGATTTTTTCACAGTCGTGAGCTAATAAATGAGTTCACTGCAGATCATGGAAACAGTCTTGTCCTATGTTCCTGTACTTCCTGCACAGAATTACCCTTTTCCTCTTTGTTGTCATTGGATGAGGACCCTGTTGGACATGTAACGTCACAGGGCAAAAACTGAGGAGAGCAGTTAAAAATGATTCACCTACAAAAGGGAAATGTACTTTCTCAGGGAAGTTGTGCACCAGTTCTTCTTAAGCCAGACACTGCAGGGTTGTTGCAAGATGTGTGGGTTTCTTTTTTCTTTTTTTTTTGTATTTGCAAAATGTGCTAATTTATGCTACAGGTTAAAATATTATTCGTTGTGGTTAGGAGCAGTCTGCAGATCATTCATACAGTCATAGTTCTCTAGTAAGCTGTAAAAAAGGGCTGCAAACAGCTCTGTAGGCAGAGGTACAGAGCTGCGAATGAAGAACAGCAAATTTTAGAAATTATAAGCAAGAGTAATAAAGTTTTTACAAACTTGTATCTCACTAATGATACTCTCTGGGAGATCATCCCAAAGTGCTCACTGCTTGTTCAACAGAAAAACAATACATACACCCAAGAAGATGTTAAAAAAATGTACTGAATGGGCGGGAGGGGGAGAGGAAGAACTTTGCCCCTTTGCCTCTACAATCTGATCACTAAAATTGTATTTTGAGAGGTGGTACAGCTTGAAATGACTTCTCCCTCAATCTTATTTCTGGCAGACATTAGTAGAAAGCAGTATAGGGTATTTTCTGTTCAGAAAGAAAAAACCAAAAATACACTGAGAATTAATTGTGAAGTGACTGCTAAAACAGGAGAGGACAAAACCCAAGCACCAAGCTTTTACAACGATCTCCTAATACCAGCAATCAAATACCTGGCTACATTTCAGCTCCAACAATTGCAGCTGCAGTCCCACCTCAGCATAAGTGAGAAATACAAGCAAGTAAGTGCCAACTGGGTTTCAGTCTCAAATACTTCAGTATCTTCTACCCTGAAGGACATTTTGAACTGCAGTGGTGGTAAAAGCCTTCCTGTATGAACTCCTTAAAGCTCCTTTACAACAACCCATTTACTGAGGAAACAGAGAAGTGTCTGTATTTTAGCAAAACAACCTGTTTTCCAAGTTCTAAAAATAGAAAAGAAAAAAAATATTAAAACTGTCTGTCATTTTGAAAGCACTCACAAGCATTTCATCCTAAGCAACACAGCCTCCCCCCTTGCTAAAAATAAAACAGTACATTACAGCAACATTTTTTGCTGGCTTCAGCCAAGGACTTGAAAACCTCCCCTCAGCCCAGACAGGCAGTAAGCTGTGAGTCAGCACTTCTCAGCATTTCTGGAAATTCCTCAGCAGAGCATCCACCCTGTAGCAGGAAGCTGCCTGTTCACTTAAGCTGGTACCAGGAAACAGACGGGTGGTCATGGACCTCACCTGAGGTGGGGACACAGCTCAAGAAAATTTCACCAAAACTACCAAACATTCCCCATCCCACCAGCTTCCCACACCACCACCGAGTACACTGCCTGGGAATAAATTCAGTACCTCCTCAGCTGGCACCCAACTACAACTATGTGCAGTTTCAAAGAACAGGAAATATAAGATTTAACTTAAAAAAAAAATTAACATTGGACAAAGGCACTAACAAGTTTCTCTGGTGCAATTTTAATGGTATGGGCTCTCCCAGAACATAGAGGCAGCTCCACTCCAACAGCCACAGGCAGGATCTGTCTCCTGCCCAAAGAAGTCTGTATTAATTCAAAACAGTCATGCCCCTCTAGGTAAAGAGGGGGTTCTCCCATGCTTACAGAGAAAGTGATTCTTTCCACTCTCAAGAGGATGAAGAAGTCATGGGTTGCTAATTGAAAGGACACATGAACACAGCTCCATCTCTCCCTCCAACAGTCCTTGCTTCCCACAGAAAATCTTACAAGTCACATACAACACTGTCACAATGGGAGACAGATCCCATGCCTGTGTGGGGGACGGCCCAAATCTGCCTCTGCCTGTACAGGCTATGGTGGTGCTGAGTATCTCATCCCCACGGAGGCACAAACCAGAATCATAGAATCATCTGGGTTGGAAAGGACCTCTGAGATCATCAAGTCCAACCCTTGAAGTCCCCATAGAAGCTCCTGGTGCTCAATAGTCTTAAATGTGTGCAACCACCAAGGTGGAGATACTGCTCTTGAAATGGAGATATAACATGCTCTCGGGTCCATGTAAGGATATAAAGCAGCTATTTCACAAGTACTGCCTGTGGTGAATGCAATTCCTACATTACTGGCCTTGGACTGAGCATCCACTCTTGTTTTGCTTTAAACACATGCTCTGACAGGGACATTAAAGAGGGAGAGTTAAGGGAATAGGAAGTACTTTGTGAACATCAGTAATTGCATGTTCTGACCTCTCCAGCTTACATCATATGTGTTATCCAACAACCACAAATCAAGAAGGAAACCCAATTTAAGGACATTAATTTTCAGCACAACACGTATGTTAAAACTAACAGAACAAGACAAATGTTGACGTTTTCCCGCTTGTTTCTTGCTTTAATATATGTGGCTCTTCTCCCAGAAAGATCTTGTCTTTTTTTTTTTTTTAATGAATATTTGTATAAAGGAAGCTGCCTAAAGTTGGGTAAAAAAAAATGTTTTTCTCGACTGTTTTTAAATACGGAGCAATGAGATTAAAGCGAGGCAGACAGCCAAATACCTCAGCCATCACAGTCATTAATAAACGCGTTTAACATTCGTGCAGCTTTCGAATGTAGAACATCTGGTTCCAATTCCCAATCTGGCTTTTAATAAAAGTGCCTCCCCCACAATACTTTTATTATAAAGTGTTCTTTTCCTCCATGGGCTCTCCGCCCTCCCCCCCTTTTTTTTCTTTTTGGAAGCGGCTGTTCCTTCCTTCTTGCTGGAAGCCACCTGACCACTGCCAGGAAGAGGAATGCAAAACATTCCCAGGAGCAGCTCCTGACGTCAGGGCGGCAGCATTCCTACTCCTCCTCCTCCCACCGCGGCCGGGCCCGGAAAGCCCAGGCCTGGTCCCGCCGCCTGCCCCGTGCCTGCTCTGGGGTTTTCGTGCTCCCCCCACGAACAGTGAGATAGAATAAACCTGGGATGGGGCTACGGTGCCCTGGCCAGGTGCCCTGACGTGGGTTCATGCTGCTCCAGAGCCGCTCCACATATCCTTTCTCCCTGCCCTTTAACAGGAGTCTCTGCTTTGGATAAACTTCAGGCCCTCAGTAGGCTTGAAGCAGCTTAGACGCTGACTTTTACGATTCTTTCCTTTTACTTCTAATTTGTTCACTCAAGGCAGGCGGCAGGAGGGTGCCAAGGAAAACAGGGACACGCTGCTACAGGACAGTTGTTTTTTTCACTCTTGAGACATTCACAAGAGACATGACATGATACCCAGGCAGGCAGCCTGCATCCAACGGCTCTCGAACATGGATCTTCTCAGTTTCTCTTTTCATACAGTATGTCTTCTAACACATAACAGAAGCATTTCAACTCTGCAACTCTAATTTCATTTATCAGAACACATTAACAATTACTGGCATTATTTTATATTCTACTCTTGAACTACCTGTTAGCAAAACTTATACAAGAGATTCTAGGTGGAGTTGCAGTCCTTGAGTTTAGTTTACTCCTTTCAGTATGTTTAGCCCAGTTACTTTGATACTTTTGGGACATACATTTTTAAAATTCTATAATATGTTCTGTCTGGGAAAAAAGGTATCTCTTTGTATTTTAGTAAATAACTGTATCAAAGACAGTGAAGAGTAAAAGAAATCCCAGTAGCTGTTACCAGATTCATGATAAAACTGAAAGAGAGTTTCCTGATGCCACCATGTCAAGGGAGCAGGATGGTCCCTTGGGAAGATGAAAAAAAAAAAAAAAAAAGAGCATGGAAAAATCATTTTTAGAGGATGTGAATAAAGAGCACTTCATGAAACACTTTCCCGTTTCACGTGTCTCTAATTATTTAACAAGAAGTATAAAATACATAATTTCATCACTCCAAAACCAGCAAAACCCTAATGTGTGGATATTAGTTTAATCATAATTTTCTAGGGAATACAAAGGAGGCCAAAACTCATCCCGAGTAGCTAAGGCATATGACTAGTAGTAGTAAAGTATTCACATATATCAATTTCCCCGCAAATATTTACATAATAAACATAAATCTCCCAATGTTGACTGACCACACTGAAAAAATAAAGGTCTGGAAACACTAAGCAAGACAGTTGCATCCCTTTCAATATTAATTGCAATTAATCAGCTGTTAGGGTTATACTGTCTGTCCACCTGAAGTCCTAAGCATGAAGATTCAAATTAGTACAAAACTCCCAGTTCCTCAGCTTCTCACTCCATTTGTGGCAAATTAAGAAATAAAACAGGTTTGGGTTTTCTCCTAATGTAGGGACTTGTTACCAAGAGGTCAAACAAGTGTCTGCCCTCTGGCCAACCTCATGCCATCTACCACTTTTTTAAGGAAACCTGCTCTCTGAAGAACCACAGGGTAAGTAAACACACTGCTTTCCTGGTGAGAAGCCTGCAAATGTTGGTTACACCAGTTGGCCACATCTGACCAGCTAAAACCCCAAATCACCTTTTTTGCTCTCTTCTTCAGAGATCACTAATATTCAAGTGACGTATCATATAAACAAAGTGGTATAGTTGAGAAAGTGACAACAAGACTCATTAATTTTATTCCATAAAATTTGACGGGGCCCTGGAAAAACATTAGTCAGCTTCCTGCAGCCATTGCAGCCAGTGGCTACTAAAAAACCCAGCTGATTTGTACTTTTATATATACACATACAAATTTAACTGAAGTTCACTGATGTCAGACAGCCATCAGTATATATGACTATTAAAAATAATACCTTTTTTTCATGTTTTGCAACAGAGTGAGAAAAAAGTACAAGACATTTCTATCACCGAAAAAAATGGAAGTAGAGAAGAAATGTAACAAAAATATTATATTCCCTAAACAAAATATAAGTAGTGGCTCAGTAGAACTGGTCAATTTCCTAAGCTAAATAGCAAAGAAAGTGAAACGTCCTTAGTACCTTCTGAAATTAGGCACAAGCTAAGATGGCCCTGTAGCAATTGAAGAATACTATACACCTTTTGGTTCTAGACATTTTTGCTCCATTTTCTATTTCATATTACATGCAGAGATAGATATACACAAGGTTTTTTCAGCTATATATTAGGTATTTAAAAATTTTCCTTTTTTCCCCCTTCAGATTTTTTCTCAGTAATTTTATCTTATCAAAATGTAAACACATGCAAATCATACTAGGTCATTTCTGAAAAGTAGACGTTAGAATTTCTGAAGGATGAAAATTTAAAAATGTTTGACTATTTAATCATCCCTAGTACTGAAGTTTGGAGGGGGATTAGAACAGGCACAGCGTAGAGGTGATGAGAACTGGGGTGTGTTCTCAGCTTCCCTTCCTCTTGTGTTTTAGCTGCTTATTCATTCTGTTATTCTTTTATCACCAGGAATAACATTGGGATGCCAAAAGCATAAATGAAATCACAGTGAGAACTTCCTTCTACGCATGGTACACAGAATTAATCTTCAGGTGTGTTTCAGGAGGCTGCCTCAAGAACCTGTAACTCAGGAGCCTTGTCCCAAGCATGCACTGCCATTCAGTCATAGCCAACTTTCTCCTGGCAAAGTCTGGCAAGTGATTTGACCTCCACAGATGAAGTAGACACTAGCTTGGAAATTCAGTCTCTGAAGACTAAAAATTCTTTATTAAAAGATTCTTTTTCATCAAAAATGTACACAGAGTAACACAGTGATGGATATTTGCTGTGGCAGAACCACAGCAGTTTACATAAGCTCTAGAGGGAGAAGCATCTTTCTTTCCTTGAACTTACAGAAAAGGGATTAATTCATGAGTAGCAAGCTTTAGAAAACAATGAGTGCAGAGGAAAAGAAATCAGAAAATTGAGTTAGTGACCAGAGAAAAACACATCAATTGTCTTTTCCTGGTTACTTTTCTATACCTTTCTTGCTTAGACTGCCATTTGAGCGGATAATTTTTTCACCAGGACTAAAATGTCAATTGATATCAGCGTGTTCTGTGACACCTGAAATACTGTTAACTGCAAAGGATCAGAAGCAGGGAAAAAAACCTCCTTAATTTCATAGTTCACTTTTACATCTGGTAAGTGAAACAGCCCAGACACCAGCTGCTAATGATGCATAGCCCTGCCTACAAAGGGCTAAAAGCAGAGCCTCCTGAGAACCAAACTGCCCCTAAAGTTTTGGAAGGCTGTACTGGGAGAAGGTGTCAATTCCTTCACAGCTCCTCACTTTTGCACACAACCTACACAAACTGTTTTGAAGCCTGTCCATACTTTTTTGAAGTACAGTCCCTCCTCTTCCCTCTGGTTTTAATTTTCATGTGTCTCTGTTTTCTGCTGCTGGCTGGACCTGGCAGTGGAAGTGCTGAACAACGGGAGTGGATCCAGCCCTGTTGCTGACTCAGGTATGAGAGCCTGTGCTCATCAGATTTTGCTGCTGCATTCCAGATTTCGGTACCCAAAAAAATTCAGATACTTATCTAAACCAAACTTCCTGAGGGTGAACTATCCCTAGGACTAAGAGACTTAGCACTAAGAGACAATATGCACTTGAGCAAGAGCCCATCAGTATGCAGGAGACAGCATGCCAACTGCACTTAAAGCAATGCCTACCTACAGAACTTGAACTTTGTCTGCTTGGGTAAATTACCCAGTTAATTATCCTGGTATTCATGTTTGCATTCAAAAAAAGGATTTGCAGCGATGAGGTCAAATCATTACACTGTTCCGTTAAAACCTTTATTTTAGGCAAATGCACTTCAGAAAACTTCTTTTGTCATGTAAAATGGAACCATCTGTACATAAATTTGTAGAACCATTTTGATGTTAAGTTTATTAATATAATTATGTCTTTACTAAGCTGTTTACTGTTTTAGGCTCCTAATAGCTATGAGGGCTTGTTAACAATACTCTGAAATCACAGGGAAGTCTCTCTTTCTCTTTGGTTTGAAAAGAGAAAACAAAATTCTAAATGTGTTTATTTCCATGTTTAATATTTGCATGTAGCATCTATTTCCTTTAATGTGAAAATTTTATGATCATGAAGCTTTTGCCTCAGCCAAATTATTATCACAACAGTGTAAGACTGCATTATTTAGCAGTGTTTAAAGAAAGTCCCAAGGTGAAGTATTTCACTTTATTCCTAAAGCAGGAAGATTGTTACTGCAATTACTACAAAAAGAAATAATTACAAAAATTACAGTGGTAATAATCTATCATATCTTAAATTGTTTCCTCTTTGGAGTTGGAGATGATTGTTTTCCAGTTTAAATTTTGAAAAGCAAAATTCTTCCACACAGTACAGCAAAACAGAAAGCTTTTGCTGGCTTGCCATTTGATTTGGAGAGACAGGATGTAGCAGATTCTGCCAAACTTCTCAAAATCCCAACTGGTTTCTGAAAGCCTGTCTTTAATTTTTTTTAGTACTAAGGAGTCATTATCTATGGTTCTCCTGGACAACTACTGGAGCATTTGTACAATAGAGTAAAGAGTGGTGGTAGGCAAAGTATCCACATAGAAACAGATTTTGGTACCCAGCAAACAATCTTTGTTTAAAAGAGACCAAAGCAGTATTAGAAACCTTCAGTGTCTACTTAATGCAGGGAGTGGCATACCCAATACACCAGCCAGGAAGGGGGACACATACACACAACTTCACAGATTGATTATTTAAAGTCTCGGAAGTTGAAAAGTATTAGGTACATTACCTCTGCCTTCCTACCTTATGAAAAACAAGTAACTAGATAA